TGGCCAAGCTGATGAGGGGGAAGGGGATGAGGGGGAAGGGGAGGAAAAATGGCTGGAAATGGTGGACGAACCCAGATCGTCTCTGGGTTCTTCATGAACCCAGTCATGGCCAAGCTGATGAGGGGGAAGGGGAGGAAAAATGACTGGAAATGGTGGCGGTAGCAAGATGAACAGAGAAAGCACAAAGGAGAACCATGGCCAGAGGAATAAATTAAGGGCATTTTAGTAATTTAATATTTAAAGAATTGAAAAAAATTAAAAAAACCAATTAAGTCTGACTTGACATACTCCACGTAAGCTAATTGTATGAGTTGTCATTGCCATGTCATTAAAAAGTGCCATTCTGGAATATTTAACTGCCAAGTGTCACTTAACTGACGGAATGATTAAAATTGTGCAAGTTTTAGAGTTAAAGGATCAAAAAAGTGCAAAAATTTATTAAAGGACCAAAAATGTGCAACTCTATAAAGTTGAGGGACCAAAACTAGCATTTAACCTTTATCTTTCTTTGGAATGCTACCCAGCAGTAAAACATCAGACTCATGAGCATGCAGCTGGATGCTAACTACTGATTTCCAAATTTGAGTGTGGTATTAAGATAGTATTGTTTGCAATGCGTACAATTATGGACATTCATAAAGAATACCAGCAGCCTTTATCCTTTTTATTGGTGCTTCTTTTCTCGTTTTATGATCCTCTCTACCAGTTTCTGTGCTCTTCCAATGTTCTCTCCTGAAAAACCATGACTGAAGATTACATGCCGGGCCGCCTTCCAATTGCTGCAACAAACACATACAGAAGATTTTTAAACAACACGTTATGATATTGACATATGCTGACATGCTAATAAATGTAGTAGAAAAATGCATACCGCCGCTCCCTGCAATAACAAGTCTTCATACAATTGTCTACCACCTCAATACGTTATCTCTGCTGTAATGTACAATTGTCTACAACTTCATTCATGCGGCTAGTATAAGCCGCCATGTCATTAAATGGTTTCACACAAAAACCGGCTCCTTGGCATATATATATGCCTTTACAAAGATGTAATACAAGTTGAAGAAATAAATCAAGTTTTTCATTCTTCTTTAAAATTATCATGGTATCACAGCCTTATTAAGTTCTTGGACTTCTCTGCGTAACTATATTTTTTTGGTTAAAACTCTATTTTAGTCCCTAAACCATTGTACAGACCCCTCGATTTGGTCCCTAAACTAAAAAAACCTTGATTTGGTCCTACTGTTTACCATTTTACCCTGATTTGATCCTTCTGTTAAATATCCGCGTATGTGTCCCGTTACTTGAAAAAAAAAGGATGACATGTAAAAGCATTTTGACACCTAGGATGTATAGCATGGCAAAAAAATGAGATGGTGAGAAAAAAACCTTAAAAAATCTCCTTTTCCTTTTTTCTTTTCTTCCTTTGTTTTTCCTTTTTCCCTTTCTTCTTCCTCTCCCTTTCCTTTCACCTTCTACAAACACTAACACCTTCTAATATTAAATCCGAGGATAACACAACCAATCAACAGAAGAACTCAAGCCTCAAAAACTGTTGCTAAGACCCTTGCCAATGCTAAGAAGGAAGCTAGTTCAAGCTGTCCAGCCCAGTCTAACACTCAAAAGTGTTTCAAGTGTCAAGGATTTGGCCACATCGCCTCTGACTGTCCAAATAGGAGAGTTGTCACCATTATTGGAGAAGAGGTTCATGAAGTCTGAGATAGAAAGCAGAAAAGGAGCATAATGATGAAATTGAGTCACCACAGCTTGAGGAAGAACTCATCGTAGTTGACCACAGAGAATCTTTGGTTGTGCATTGAAGTCGTCATGCTATCATAACCAAAGATAAAGATTGGCTCCAACATAACATCTTCCACACCAGATGTACTTCTCAAGGGAAAGTCTACAATGTCATCATCAATAGTGGAAGTTGTGAGAATTTTGTGTCCAATTATATGCTTGAAAAGCTAGGACTATCTGTTAAAGATCATCTCCATCCATACAAGCTACAATGGCTATGAAAGGGAAATGAGGTAAAAGTAACTAAACATTGCCTTGTGTCTTTTTCTATTGGTAATAAGTACCAAGACAAAGTGTGGTGTAATGTTATTCCCATGGACACCAGTCATTTGTTACTTGGTCGCCCCTGGCAATTTGACCGAAAGGCTATCCATAATGGTCATGCCAACACCTACTCATTTATGAAAGACGGTGTGAAAATCAAGCTCACTCCCCTGAAGTCGGAAGAAACACTTGAAAAGAAGGATGAGGACAAGGCTTTAATCTATAGATCAACCTTTCAGAAGTTTTAACAAGAATCGGGAATAGCATGTCTCTTGCTATTATCCAAAGTAAATGATGCCATTTCTCTTTTTCTAGAGAAAATTCGATCTCTCCTTGAAGTATTTTCTGATGTTGTTTCTGACAAGATCCTTCCTGGATTACCACCAATGCAAGACATTCAGCATGCCATTGATTTCATCCTAGGATTTATCATCCCAAACAAGCCTGCTTATCGGATGAACCCTCAAGAGTATGAGAAACTTCAATGACAAGTCAAAGAGCTGATAGACAAAGGACTTGTCAAGAAAAGTGTCAACCTATGTGCCGTGCCTGTGCTATTAGTCCCAAAAAAAGATGGAACTTGGAGAATGTGTGTAAATAGTCGAGCAATCAACAAAATCACTATCAAATACTACTTCCCAATTCCACATCTTGATGATACGCTTGATTAGTTACATGGAGCTACTATCTTCTCAAAGATTGACTTGAGAAATGGATATCACTAGATTTGAATGTCTCCTGGTGATGAATGGAAGATAGCATTCAAAACTATAGATAGTTTGTATGAGTGGACGGTTATGCCATTAAGATTTTCTAATGCTCCTATCACTTTCATGCACTTTATGAACCAGATATTTTGACTCTTCATTGGGAAATTTGTTATCGTTTACTTTGATGATATCCTGGTATATAGCAAGAATGAATAGAAGCACATAGACCATCTTTGGCAAATTGTTGAAGTCCTTAGAGAGCAGAAACTTTATGCTAATCTTAAGAAATGCTCATTCCTTACTACAAGCATGACATTTCTTCAATACATAATCACTGCTCAAGGCATTAGGATGGACCCCAATAAGATTGATTCTATCGTCAACTAGCTTACGCCAACATCCATGCATGATGTTTGAAGCTTCCATGGCTTGGCATCTTTTTGCCAGAGATTCATCAAGAATTTTAGTTCTATTGCTGCCCCAATCACTGATAGCATTAAGGGTGACAAAGTTTCATGGAGTGATAAAGCCCAAAAGAGCTTTGAAGAATTAAAGAGGCAACTCACTAAAGCCCCAGTACTTACACTTCCCAACTTTGACCTTATGTTTGAAGTAGATTGTGATGCTTCTAATGTTGGAATTGGTGTAGTATTAAGTCAAGAAGGAAGACCCATTTCCTTTTTCAACAAAAAGTTAAATGACACAAAAATTAGATATTCCACCTATGATAAAGAATTCTACGCAATTGTTCGAGCCTTGAAGCATTGGAGTCATTATTGTCTTTCAAAAGAATTCATCCTACACTCTGACCGAAAGGCATTGAAGCATTTGAATTCTCAACAAAAGATCAGTTGTCGACATGTTGCTTGGAGTGAATTTCTACAAGCTTATCCTTTCTTCCTCAAATACAAATTTGGAGTCTAGAATCACATAATTGATGCTCTTAGTCACTAACACGCCTTACTTACTTCCCTACAGATGAAAGTCATTGGATTTGAAGTGATCAAGGAGTTGTATGAGGATGATCCTGATTTTAGCAGCATTTGGAAAGCCACTTCCAATTAGGCCTTTCAACAATATCATCGTCAGTAAGATTACCTATTCAAGGGTAACCGACTATGTGTCCCACGTTGCTCACTCCGAGATTCAATTATCTAGGAAGCACATAATGGTGGATTAGCTGGTCATTTTGGGAGACAAAACTTTAGCTCTAGTTAAAGTAAATTTTTACTGGCCAAAGCTAGAGCAGAATGTCATTCATCACATTCAAAGATGCAAAGTTTGTCACCAGGCTAAGACAATCAATCAAAACACAAGGTTATATCCACCATTTCTTATCCCAACATCACCTTAGGAAGATATTAGCATGGATTTTGTCCTTGGTCTACTGCAAACTCAACGAAGCAAGGATTCTATCATGGTCGTGGTTGACAGATTTTCTAAAATGGCTCACTTTGTTGCTTGTTAGAAAACTAATGATGGTTCTCTCATTACTAAGTTATATTTAAGAGAGATTATGCGTCTACATGGAGTTCCAAAGACTATCACTTCAGATAGAGATGTGAAGTTCATGAGTCATTTTTGGAGGATTTTATGGAGAAAGATGGGCACTCAACTCCAATTCAGTTCTGCCGGCCATCCCCAAATCAATGGTCAAAATGAAGCTATCATCAAGATTTTGGGGAATTTACTACAAAGTTTTGTGGGAAAGAATTTGCAACAATAAGATCTTGTGCTTGTCCAAGCTGAGTTTGCTTATAATAACTCTTCAAATCAAGCTACAAGAAAATGCCGATTTGAAGTAGTATATGGAGTGCGTCCTCTCAACCCTTTAGATCTAGCTCCATTGCCCACATCCTAACAATTTAGTGCAAATGCTGAACAATGAGCCAAGGAGATCAAGAAACTTCATGAAGAAGTTTGTGAGAAGTTACAACGTCAAACCATTAGGTATAAAGCTCATCATGACAAGCACTGAAAGAAAGTTGGGTACAAGGAAGGAGATTGGGTTTTGATACACCTTTGAAAGGAAAGGTTTCCTAGTCAACCTAATGCCAAACTCTCCCCTAGAACAAATGGTCCTTTTCAGATAGTGGAGAAGATCAATGATAATGC